GTTGGTAGGTGAAAAGGGGCTTCGTTTCCACCCTGATTTTATTGTTTTTTTGTCCTCTTCTTCGACGGTTTACGTCTTCCCCTCCCCTCCCTCCTGATGTCCCGCTGGAAAAAATTCCAGCGTTGAATGGATATTTAAAAAGGACACGAGATAAAACGGAAGTTGTTACAAAATGAATGAGAATTAAACGAAGAAGAAAAAGGAAAAAAAAAAAGGAAAAATCGATACTTCATTAAAGCTAATAAAGAATGGTCGCATGTTGTTTCCGTTTGTTTGTTTGTTTGTTACCGTCGCGCTGGCGTTGTCGTTGTTGTTGTTGTTGCTTTTTCCTCTTCTTCCTCTTCTTTTTTCTCTCTTTTGAGAGAAATTTAAAATTCTTTGTTTTGTCTTCGTCGTCGTCGTCATCGTCGTATCTAAATTACAAATGAGGAAGAAGAAATTAAATGAAAGGATTCGTAAGATTTTTCTTTTTAATACGGAAAGAACATTAATTCTATTATATGGCTTAGTTAAGCTTATGAAAGAAGAGAGAAAACAGGTTAAAATAAATAAATGAATGCGGAAAGAGAGAGAGAGAGAGAGAGAAAGGAAGGAAGGAAGAACGTGGGAGAAGAAGATGAAAAAGAATAAGACAAATGAAAAAAAGTTTTAAAAGTGATAAGGTTGATAAGAATCGGGGAGGAAGGGAGAGGGAGAAGGGAATAAAAGGAAAAACAAGAGAAAGGAAAATAGATGAAGGGTGGGGAAAAAACGACACATTATTATTATTATTATTATTATCATTTACCCTCGCGCGCGTAAACTTTGGTAATTACTTTAAAGTGCGTGTACTTTGTGTGCGTAAGTGTGAAGGAAATGCCCGTCGGAAAATTTTCCTTTTTTTTTCTTTTTTTTAATTCTTCGGGCAAGTTTTGCGTTCGGTCGTAGAGGCTGAGGACTGGGGGCGGGGACGGGGGGGTAAAAGTTTTCATTATTTATCGAATTCGGTAAAAGGAAAAAGGGATGAAGAAAATTAATTAATGGACTTTGCATATAAATTTAATTAAAAATTTGAAAAATTATTTATTTATTTATTTAACGTTTCTCTCTCTCTCTCTTCAGTTTGTTCTCCAGACGATTTGTTTAAATAAATGGTATAAGTATTATTATTATTATTTTTTCGAAACGGTATTTTGCAAAAGATAATATTAATTGTTTTTTATCGTCATCGTCATTGTTTAAAATAATATTAATAATAATAATAATAATAATAATGATAAAGAACCGTAGGAAGGTGAGCGCGGGGATTTTCAAAAACCATTTTCGTCGTCTGAATATGAAAGGGTTACGAATGAAATCATTATTATTATTATTTCCTTTTGTCATTTTATAAACTCTCGAGAAAGTGGTGATGATAATGATGATGATGATGATGCTCCTGCTCCTGCTCTGCTCCTCGTTTTCCTCGTTACGTATTTCATTTTAAAGAAAATTTTTATATTTTGTTATTTTCTTCCAGGAAAACTTAAACTGTAAATTTTCTTTTTTTTTTTTTCGTCTTCTTCTGCTTTTGGAAGGGAATTTTGAAAATGGTTTAGGTTTTAGTTAAACGGTTGTTGGAAAATTTTTTTTTTTTTTAATTTTTCCCCAAATTTGTCGGGTTTGGAAATGTTTAATTGAAGAAAACGGAAATTTTGAGTTCTCTCTCTCTATCTATCTCTCTCTATTTTTGTCGTTTTTCGAATAATTTTAATCAGAAATTATCATTATTATTATTATTATTATTGTTTTTTTTTACGTGCAGGAATTATGGCGACGCGATCACGCTTTTTTTTTTTTTTTTTTTTTTTAAATTAAATCGAATTTTTTAATTTTTTTAGAAATTTCTTTTCTCTCTCTCTCTCTCTCTCTCTCTTTCTATCCTATTAAAACTTTTTGCGCAAATTTTCCAATGGATTCCATTTCATTCCATTCCATCCAGTCAGTTCCTTCGAATTCTTTAGAAAATTGTTTTTAATTTAAGGGAAGAATTAAAGGTTGCACAAAAAATAATTTGACTTGTAATTACACGAAAATATTTCAATTTACGTTTTTTAAAAAAAAAGCAGGAGAAAGAGGAATAGAATCTGAAAAGAGAAAGAGAGGGAGAGAGGGGAAGAGAGAACGAGAGCGAAAGTGAGAAAGAAAAAGAAAGAGAAAGAAGTAAAAGTCGACTGGAAAATTTTCGTTTTTATTTTTTTTCCTCGCGCGCGCTTTTTCCGTACATTTAAAAATTTTTATTCGTCTTTACAGGCAGGAACTTGAAAAAAAAAAAAATTAAAATTTTTAATTCAAATTTAAATTTTTTATTTTAATTTTTTTTAAAAACGGAAACGGAAATGGAAAACTGAAGAAAATCATTAAAGAAAAAAAAAATGGAGAAGAAAATTAAAAGACGACGACGACGTTTTTCGTCTCACCCGAAATATTTAAATCGTTCGATGATGACGTCATATCGTTTCCCCCCACATTTGTGCCACGTTTCTTTCGTGTAAATAGATGAAATTAAAAAAATAAATAAAATAACGGAACCGTCCCCTCTCCCGGAAAATTTATCGAGAGAATTTTTTCGGTTAACGTTTTTTTTTAATGCGAAAGGATTTTTCTGTTTGTGCTTTGTTACTTCCTTCTTTTCTCTCTCTCTCTCTCTCTCTCTCTCTCTTTCTCTTTCTCTCTTTTTTTAACAAACGGTTGCAGTTTTGTTTGTATAAATATTTAAGCGGTAATTATTCATTGTTTTTGTTTGTTTTATTTTGTCTTTTCCTTCCAGAATAAAACCCAAAAAAAAAAAAAAAAAGGCGTTGATAATTTTGTTTTTTTATTACGGTATTTAACACTGACATTGTTTGTTCACGTTTCGGTTGTTTGTTTTCCCGTTTGTTGATTTGAACCACCGCCGGTTCGGTTGTTTGTTTGTTTGTTTTTCTTCTTTTGGTTATTTTGCAATTTTTTTTCTTTTGATAATGATAAAATTCTTTGAATTTTTTTTTCGTACGAATAAATTCGAAGTTGAAACGAGAGTAAAAGGAAAAAGAGAAAAGTAATAATAATAATAATAATACTACCGGAAGTTGAAAAATAAATCGGTAGACAAGAAGTAAACATCATGATCTTGCGTACCTGAGAAAATTTTAGGAGAAAAAAATTCCGAATACGTTCTGGAATAAAATCGAACTCGAATCAAAAAGAAAAAAAAAGAAATGCGATGGAAAAAGAAGTAAAAAAAAAAAAATGGAGAGAAAAAGAGAGAGAGAAAGAGAGAAAGAAAAAAGAAAAGTGGAAAGTGAGAAGTGTTTTCAAAAACCTGATTTCCCCTGTGAAAAAGCTTTCACCGAACGGCATTTTTTTTAGATTTGTTCGGTCGGTTCACTATTTTCCTTGCGTTCGTTTTGCATTTCAATTTTTACTCTCTCTCTCTTTCTCACTCTTTCTCTCTTTCTGTCTTTGTCTTATTTGTTATGACTTTTTCAACAAAAAAAACTGACGTTTGAAATATATATTTATTATAAATTTTGTGTTTGTGTGTTTGTGTACAACGTTTGTTGCGAATCGGTTGTCGATTGTATTAAAAAAAAAAAAAAAAAAGTAACATAAAAAACCGTGCAATCTTTTATGGGTCGTTTAAGGGAAACAAGTAAAAAATTTATTGACGGCATTAAAAATTATACGACTTGTATCGTGACGTCCCCCCCGTGACATTACCCCCTTCCCTCCCCCTGCGTGTAATCGCCTTAAGCGTCCTTCCGTGAAAACCTTAAAAAAATTCGGGAGCCGGTCATTTCCGTTAATTTTCGATCGCGACGATTCCGATAAACGGTCGTGTCGAATTTTTAAAAAACGTTTTTATCGATCTGCGAAAAACTGTGATGATGACGCAATCACCGGAACGAGATTCGATATATCGAAATATCGAAAAAAGAAAATTTTTTATATTTTTTTAAAGATTCAAAAGTGAAAATTTTAAATTTCGATAGAATTTGAGTCGGTTTGAAAGGGAGGAAAACGTATATATTTTCCGTCTTCCCCCTCCCCTAATCGTGAATGGAATGATTGAATGAATGAATGAATGAATGAATAATTGAATGACTCATCGTAAAAAAAATGCCGATTACGTCACGAGAATGACGAAATTTTTGATTGCGGCAAGAAGGGGGAAAAAAACCGAAACGAGTTTATCATTTTTAAAATCATTTTCTCTCTCTCTTTCTCTCACTTCTAAAATATGTTTGTTATTCGTTGGTTTGGTCGTTGGCTTGTTTGTTTGTTTGTTTGTTGTTGTTTTCCTTTAATTAAAAATTTAAACTTTATCCAACGAAAACAATATGAAAATATTAAAGGAAAAAAAAAATGTTTTGGTTTATTAATTTTTTTTTTTTTTGGTGAAAATAATGAATAAAGTTTTGGAAAATTGTTTTTTTTCCGGGGGAGAGGGGAGGGGAAGGGAAGGGAAGGATTTTCTTATGGAGTAAAAAAAAAAAAATCGAGAGAGAAAATCTTGAAAAGAATTATTTTTTCCTTTTTTCCTATTTTTTTTGTTCCATTGCGAATTAAAATATTTAAAACTTTTTTTTTTTTATTTTCCTTTTATTCGTTCCATTTTCCTTTTTTTTTAATTTTATTTTATTTTCCTTTTTCGTTGTAAACATTTTTTTTTAAGAGTTGAATTTATTTTTTTTTTTTAAAAAAAAGAGGGGGCGGAGGGAGGCAAAAAGAAATTGACGTCTTTACTTCCCATCTCCCCTCGGGAGATTCATCGGAATGAATAATGATAATAAAAATAATAAGAAAAACTGAGAAAACCGTTAAAAAAATTTTTTTGCTTTTCCAATTTCCATCTATTCATTCATTCATTCAGTCATTCATTCCTTCAATCAATCATTCGTTCATTTTCTTCCGCTTGTTTTTTTTCTCTCTTTTTTTCTTGTTCCTTCCCACTTTTTTTTCCTTTTTTCTCTCGATCCTTCGTTTCGTATTTATATATAATGTTTGTCCGTTTGTTTTTGTTTGTTTGTTTGTTTGTACGTTTATTTGTTTGTTTACTAACGTCTTTTTTTTTTCTTTTTCTTTCCACGTTTCAGAACGGAGAAAAAGGTTATTTAGACGGTCTCGCGTCGAGATACGCGGATTTATTCAACACTCATTACGGCGACGTTTTGGAACATTTGGAAGAACTCAGAAAGAAAGAATGGAACGAACTCTCTCCGAGAATATACGTTTTACAACCTGGAACGACGGGAGGAGGAGTAGGAGTAGGAGGAGGAGGATCTCCTGGAACTCCTCCCGGTACATACAGTCCGACAAGACAAGTGATGACCGCAGTTTCGTTACACGGTTTGACGACATCGTTGAGTCAACCCATATACGTTCCTGGAAAATATTCGGTGAGTTAATGAGAGAGAGAGAGAGAAAGATAGAGAAAAATCTGGAGAAAATAGAGAGAGAAAAAAAAATTTGTTTCGATGAGGAGTTTTTAACGAGATTTTCTCTCTCTCTTTCTCCATAATTCTTTTTTGAACTGCGTTAATTTTCCGTTACTTTTCTTTTTCCCCCTCTTCTTTTTCTTCTTTCTTTTTCAATTGCTTGTTATTATTTAAAATCGACTGACTTTTTCTTTTTTTTTTTCCAGCCGTCCTCGTGTTTAAGTGATAAGGAAGAAGATGAAATTTACGGGTTCGCAGGGTATGGAGTCTACGGTAAGCAAATGCTTCAAAGGCAACAGCAAAGAAAATTATTCGCTCAAAATCAAACGGGGCACGCTCAAGGTTATCAAACGTGTCTTAGTCCCAGATCGGCTTATTTTTACGAATTTCCTCCGACGGGTGAGTTTGAATTTTATTTTTATAAAATGAATTCCCCCTCTCCCTTCCTCTTTGTTCCGGAAAAGGAAAAAAAACCGGAAACCGGAAGAAAGGGTTGTTTCTCTCTCTCTCTCGCTTCCGCTTATTTTACCAAAAAATTAAATAAAACTCGAAATTCTTATCGAAGTCGATTAAACGATTCGAGTTCGATTAAATTTATTCTTAGTTAGTCGGTGAGTGTTTTTAGGAAAAACCCGAGCGGAAACGTAAATAAGACGATGACGATGACGATAATTGACAATCGACGATCCGGAAGTGGGATTATTATCATAGATCGTGACGATCGAGAGTATACTCGCGATTATCGGATTCAATAATAATCGATTGAATTTCATCGGATAAAAAGTAAAAATTTTTTTTTCGGTTCGAATGAAAACTTTCGAAAACGTTAATAATAATAATAATAATAATGCCCTCGATAAACGAATTCGAGAAAATTTAAAATGATAATGATAAAGAAAATTTACCGCGGAGAAATTTCGACGAATAGAAAAATAGAAAACGAGAAAGGATTACGCGATGAGAGTGAGAGAGAGAGAGAGATTTTGTAAAAAACTTAATATTCGTTTGTTTTCACTTCCGGAAACTAATTTAAGAATTTCAATTGCAGGGGGGATCGTTGTCGAGAGTATGATGCGTGCGTGTGGGGGAAGGGAAAAACAGGAAACGGAAATAGAAAATTTAAACAATGATAAAGAGGAAAAGAGATGAAGTTAAAAAAAAAAAAAAACCGACGGAAATAGACCGACTGACAGACGGACGGACTGGCGGCGGATGAAATTACAATAATCGATTATTAAGTTAAAACAAAACAAAAAAATGGGGGGTGGGAGAGTGTGGGGGGAAGGAATGCTGGAAAATCTTCGATAGTCGTTCGTTTCAATTTTTTTTTTTTTTTTTTTTTTTTTTTTACTACAATGGCGATGGTCCATCCAAACCACTTCCTCACTCTCTCTCTTTCGCTCTTTTTTTTTTTTTTTCATTATTTGAGGAGGGTGGGGAGGGGATAGTTTCAAACTGGAAAACTAAGGGGGTCGTAATGTTGTTGTTGTTGTTGCTATTCATTTTCCTTTTTTTTCGAAAAGTCGAGAGAATCGGTTTTATTATTTGGGGTCGTGTAAAAACCCCTGGAGAGCCCTCGAGCTCTCTTCTTCGCTTTGTCTCATATTATTCGATTTGAATATCCGATCGTTTTTTTTTTCCTTTTGATCTTTTTTTGTTTTTTGTGGGGGGGGGGAGGGAGCCAGAGGGAAACGGTCGGTCCGATCGATGAAAGGTAATTTGCAAAACGTATTAATTTGCTTTGAATGTTTTGGATAGGCAGACAGAGAGAGACAAATAATAGGAGGAATGTAAAGAGGGGAGGTGTGTAGGAGTGTCGGTTTTCCCCTTTTTTCTCCCCCTTTCATTCTCCTCCCTCCCCACTTTTTTTTGAAATTTTCTTTTCTTTTCTTTTCTGTTTGTTTTTAACGTAAAAAAAACTTAACATGCAGGTCGCAATGATGGTTTATCTTTGCTGTCGGGTCAATAGAAAATTTTTTTATTTAATTTTTTTTTTTGTTTAAACACGTGATGATCGGTGTAAACACACGCGCGCATATTTACGTAAATAAACGTTAGGAGAAACGTCGTCTCTCTCTCTCTTTTTTTTTCTCCAGGATTATCGTTCCAGATATTTTATTTTTCATTTTTTTTCTTAAAAATGTAATTCGATAAAAAACCAGAAAAATTTGAGTAAAACTTATTGCTATGCTATTGTCTTCTTCACCTTTCGACGACGTTTCCAGAATCTTTGAGTGTGCGTGTGTGTGCGTACAAACGCACACGCACACGCACGCACGTACGCATTAAAGTAAGAAAAAAAAATCACGTGAAAATTTACGATTTAACGAGAAGGAAAAGAAAAAAAAAAAGAAAATAAGAAAAGAGTGATTTACGTTTCGTTGTTGTTGTTGTTGTATTTCCAAGACTTTGATTTATGCTTTGGTTGACTTTTTTTTCCGTCTTCTGCCACGTTTGGTTTTTGGCTTTAATAATAATTAGGAACGGAAGACGAAAGAGGAATGGGCGGAGGAAGAGTGAGGGGGGAGGAAAAAGTGTTTCAGTTATTTTTGCGTGATGAAAATGTTTTGAAGGAAAAAGGTTGAGAAAGTTTTTTTTTTTTTCTTTTTCTTCTTCCCTCCTCTCCCATCTCCCTTCTCTCCTCTTCCCCTTCGTCTTTTTCTTCCCTTTGAAATTTTTTTTTTTTTGTTTCTTTTTCGTCTTTCTTAAATTTCACTTAAGCTTTATTTTCCTTTTTAATTTTCTCTCAATTTTTTTTCTCTCTCCCTCTCTTTCTCTTTCTCTCTCTTCGTTTTTCTTCATTTTACTCTTCTTCTTCTTCTTATTCTCTGTCGTCTGTCTCTCATTCCATTCCTTTTTTCCCTTTTTTTTTTTCATTTTATTTAGTCTTTGTCTTTTCATTCTTAAGGAGATTAACTTTCACATTTTTCTTTTTCATCGTTTTCATTATTTTCCACCACCTTTTTTTCCGTATCTATCTATCTTTTCTCTCTTTCTTTCTTTCTTTCTTTCTTTCGTTTCTTCCTTTCTTTTTCCTTTTTCACGTGAAAAAGTAATATATATATATATATGTGAAAATTTTGTTTTTAGGGCTTTTAAAAGATTTGAGATTGTTCTCATATATCAAATTATTTATTTTATTTTTCTCTGTTTTTCTCTCTCTCTTTCTTTCTTTCTTTGTATTTTATTTTATATTGTTTCGCTTCATTTCATTTTTCTTTTCTCTTTATTTTATTGTTTTTTATTTTTATTTTTCATTTTCTTTTTCCAGATCAAGCCAACACTCAAAATTCTAAAAAGAGAACAACGTTTTCGAAATTTCTAAGGGGATTAAAAACCGTGCACCGTAAGGAAAAACACGGGTCGAGTTCTTCACGTCACGGGAGAGATTCCAGGTTGCAGGGAACCGCCATCAATCAGAGGGTGAGTTTTTTTAAATTTATCATCATCATTATTATTATTATTATTATTATTGTTTGGAGAATTGAAATTTTTTTTTTTTTTTTTTTGCTCTTAATGGATTTGAATGAGTCGTGGGGAGGAGCGAGGGTAGGCGAGGCGGGGCGTGGCGGGCTGGGGGTTGACTGGGAGCAGTTGGTCTGTTTTTTTCTCCCCCCCTCCCTATTCCTTTTCTCCCTTTCTCGTAAATGACTCGTTGCTTTTACTTAGCCTCCTAGCTTTCCATCGTTCTTTCTCTCTCTCTCTCTCTCTCTCTCTCTCACTCACTCAGTCACTTAAAAGACTAAGTAAATTTTCGAGTAAGAAATAAAAAAAAAAAAAAAAAAAAATTTTTTTTTCTAACTTTTTTGTTTCTTTTGTTTTTTTTTTTTTATTGTTTTTCTTCTGCTTTTTATTTTCGTACCTTCTCTCTCTCTCTCTCTCTCTCTCACTCTTTCATTTCCTTCGTCTTAGTATTATTCTTCATTCATCCCTTCGATTCGTTTGAGGTTGATTCAAAATCTTTTTTTTTTTTTTCCCAATTCATTCTCTTTTTTTTTATTTTCTTTTATTTCTCTTTCTCTCTCTCTCTCTCTCCTTTCTTTTGTGAAAACCAAAATTGATTGATCATTCATTCAAGTGGATTTGAATTTATGCAAATTGAAAGTTACTTAGTTAAAAAAAGAAAGAAAGAAAGAAAAAAAAGGAGAAAAAAAGAAAAAAAAAAATTTTTTTTTAATACGACGTGAAAGTCTCTTAACGAATTTCGAATTCGTAAATGAAATTTTCCGCCGTGAAAAAAAAAAGAAAAAAAAGTGTTTTTTAATTTTGTATTATAAAAATGTAAGAGAGAGAGACAGAGAGAGAATAAGCAGAAGAAGGAGGAGAAGGAAGAGGAGGAAGAGGAAAAGACTATTTGTTAAAAAAGCCGCGTTTGGTGGCCATCGTACGCGTTACGCGTTTTTCTTTCTTCTCTCCGGAAAATATATAAAACGAGCGGAAGTGAACGCGCGCGCACGTGTTACGCACAAACCGGAAATAATATTGTGACGTAATCGCATGTGAAAATAAAAACAACAAAAATTATCATCATCATCAAAATGATTTTTTTTTTCCGAACGCGAGGAGAAGGGGGAAAAAAAGAAGAAGGAAAAGCGGGGGTGTCAACAACAGCAGTAACAGCAGTAACAGCAGCAAGAGGAGTAGCAGCAGCCTGTTTGAATTTTTAAATTTTCACACGGAAAAAGAAAATTTAAATCATTTTAATTTTTTTTGTTTTTTTTTTTTTATTCCCGCCTTTTTTGAAATTCAAAATCTCTGCTCCTGCTGCTGCTGTTGCTGATTTTGTTGTTATTGTTTTTTTTAAAATTTGAAATCGAAACGTCCATCAGAGACCTCTTTTATCCGTTTTCCTAATTAATTAGTTTCTTTTTTTTATTTAATAATTCATTTGTTTTTTTTTTAACTTGATTTTTTCTCATTTCATAATTTATTTCCGTCGATTGCAACAAATAATAATAATAATGATAATAATAATGATGATGATGATGATGACGATGACGATGATGATAAAAATTTTTTTTTTTTTTTTTTTTTTTGCTTTCTAATTAAAAACTTTTTGATGGAAATTTTCCCCGACGTCAGTTTCGAGTCGTAAATTTTAACGGTGTAATAAATTACTGTAGGAAAAGCAAATAAATGGAAGACTTGTTTTGCCTGGATAAGAAACAAAAACAGAACAAGAATGAAAAAGTCAAATAAAAAGGGTTGAGGGAGAGAGAGAGAGGGAGGGAGGAAGAGTGAAAGGGAGGGAAGAGAGAAAGAATCGATTTATTGTCGGATCGTATGAGTTTTTTTTTTTGGAGAAGGCGGAGGTGGGGTAGCGGTGATGGTGGTGGTGATGGTGATGGTGTCGGGAAAACGGAAGCGAAAACATTCCGCTTTTTTGAAAATGAAATTTGTGTTGTAAAGATTTGCGAACGCGAACATCCAGGTGTTTGTTTGTTTGTCTGCTTGTTTCGGGGGGAATTGAAGGAAAGTGATGAAGGCGGCACGACTGATAAAAAGCAGAAGAGACGTGGTCGGTCGTCGATAAAACATCACGGTTATTGCCACGTCACGAATTCGCGCGCGCAAAAAAGAGGAAAATTTTAAATTGTCATTTAAGGTTTTTTTAATTCTCCGATAACGTCAGATAATGACTAGAGTAATGAAAATGAAAAATGAAAATGAAAAGGAGGAAAATGGGGGGAAAAGGGGGGGGAACGAAACGAAACGAAACGAAAGGAAAATTATTATTTTTAGAAAAGAAGAAAATAAAATAAAAAAAAAATGAGAAAAGTTAAATTCGGCTTCATTTGTTTCCAAAAAAAAAAAAAGAGAAAAATTTTTTTTCCCAGAAAAAGAAAAATTAATTTTATATTTTAATTAATAAAATTATTAAGTAAAAACGACAAAAGAATAAAGAGAAGAGGAGGGAAGGGGGAAAAGAATAAATAATAGAGTAAGGGAAAGCGAAAGAGTGAGAGAGAGAGAGAGAGAGACGTAATACGGAAACGTGTAAACGGGGGGGGGGAGTGGGGAAAAAAGAAAAGAAAAAGATGAAATAATTTTAAAATTGTCTCTCATAGCTATTTATCAACCGTGTATACTTATTTAAATATAATTCAGAAAGTAATACGACAATCGAAACGAAGTTTGAAAATGGGAGGATCGGGAGGGGAAGGGAAAAAACAAAAAATGAGAGAGGAATGAGTGAGGGGGAAGAAAGGAAAATAAATGTGGATGACGAAAGAATAGGAAAAGGGAAAAGAAAATGAAAAGGAGAAAGAAAACGAATTGTAGAAATAAAAGTGAAACGGGAAGAAGAAGAAGAAGAAAAAGAAAAGAAAAAGAAGGGAAAAAGGAGAAAAAAGAGAAAAAAAGAAACAGAAGGAAATGAAGAAGGAGAGGAAGAAGAAGAAGAAGGAAAAAAATAAAAAAGAAAAGGAAAATCTAAAGGAAAAGACGAAGAAGAAGAAGAAAAAGGTGCAAAGGATGAAACCTATAAAAAACTTTTTCCTCTCCCCTCTTCTCTTTATCCGACTTCCGCTTTTCCGCTTTTTGAAAATTTATAATTTCGCGGACACGAGGATAAAGAAAAAAGAAAAATATCGTCGAACGTTTTTTATTTCCGATTTCCGGTAATTTTTGGACAAATCAAGAGGAAAGAAAGAAGTGGAAAGACACAAAACGTGGCGCAAAAAAGGATAAATTAAATATAGAGCGTCAGAATTTTTTCGTGACGTAGAAGGCACACACAGAAGGCAAACAGGAAAACGAAAACGGAAACGAATAAAGTTTTTTTCTTTTAAGTAAAACGCCGTCGTCGTACTTTTATTTATTTCTTTTCGAACATTTAAAAAAAAAAAAAAAAAAAAGTACCACGATTCGAAACGATGACGTCCGTAAGTTTTTTATTTCTTTTCGAAAATTAAAAAAAGGCGGGAAAGAAAATGTAAAGACGGAAGAGGAAGTAAAAAATCACATGAAAGTTTTTTTAAAAAAAAATTTTTTTGATTTTGATTTTGCTGCGGTTGGTTTTGCTATGTTGTTGTTTGCAAAATTTTGTATCCTTAGCAAAAAAGAAACTCTCTTGAAAATTTTTTTCCGTCCCTCTTCCTCCTCCTCTTTCCCCTCCCCTTCTCCCCACTTTTTTCCCCCCTCATTTTTATTTATTTGTTCGGGATGGGATAAGTTTTTAAAGTTTTTCAAGCGAACGTTTATCGAACACTTGTGAAGTGATATACTAACACTTGAAAAGTTCAATCAGATTCGTTTTCGAAAGAGAGAGGAAGAGAGATAGTTAGAAAAATCGTAAATCTGGGAAGAGAAAAAGAGAGAGAGAGAGAAAAACTAATAATAATAATAATATTTTATTATTTTTTTGCTTGAGTTTGCTATTCTGTTTTTCTCTTCGATTAAAAAAACAAATTTTTTTTTTTTTTTTCAATTTTCAAATTTATTTACTCTGTGGTTGTTTGATACTTTTTCCGGTTTGAATTTTTCTCCTAGAGAAAATGAATGGTAAATTATTATTTAGAGGAAGTGATAAGGAGGAGGGGAGGAAAAAAAACTTCAACCTGGAAAATTCGTTTCGAAAGTGACGTTTCATCATGACGATTCGAAACCTCGTTTCCGGTAAACTTTTTCGGGTTTATATTTGACGTAAGAGATAAAATCGAGAGAGAAAAAAACGTTCGGGAAAAAAGGGGGCAGAAGGGGGAGGGGGAAAATATCCGAATAATCGTCCGTCGGGAGATTTCGGGTTCCGGGAGAGAGAGAAAAGAAAAGAGTCGGTTTAATTTTTCGGTGGAAAATTTTTTTTTCCCTTTCCTTTTTCTTTCTATTTGACCGCCGTTGATTGACTTGGATTGAAGAGGGAGGTGGCATCGGCGGTGACGGTTGGGGAGGCGGCGTCGGCGAAAGTCGGCAGTTGGGGAGGCGTCGATTTCTTTGCGATTCGGACGGAAAAATTTTTCTTTTTTTTATAAAACACGAAGAACGAAGAACGCGAAATTTTTTTTTATTAGGATTTTTATTGTTTTTTTTTTTTTTTTTTTTCCTAAATCGAAAAACCGGAAATGAGAAAAAAAAAGTTTTTTTTGGAAAATTTTTCGATAGAATCGAGAAACGATTCGTGAAAATTGGAGGGGGGTGGGTTGGGGAAGGGGATCCAAAAAAAAAAAATTTATTTTTTACAAACGCGCGCGCGCGATTGCTGTTGTTCTCTCTGTTTTTCATTCTTTCCTTTTCTCTCTCTCTCTCTCTCTGTCTTTCTCTTTCTCTTTCCGACCTTTTTCCCTTTATCGTTAAAAAAAAAAAAAAGAAAAAAAAGGAAATCGAAAATTTTTAAATTAATGTCGGCAATTAATAATCCTTAATTTGTTGTTGTTGACTCCGTTTCGTGCTTTTGTGT